GCTGAACCCACCAAGAAGATTCAGTATTGCATGGGGCCAAGGGAGGATTGTTGACCTGTACTGGGGGACATACGGCAATTTTGTCAAAACCCTCATTTGGCTTTTAGGTTGCTTTGTAGGTGGGAACTGACAACTAACCCATTCTTGAAATCTCTCATTGGCTTTGCTGGATGTGGTATGGTGGTGTGTCCTAGCTGTATCTTCCAAGTTAGTTTTGATGTCGAGGATGCAAGAGTGAAAGCAGAGTTAGCTTTGCTGAACAATGCTGGGTATTGAATAAAATGATAGATTTGTTGACAGAAGCACTCAGTTCCTTTTAAGAAATCAATAGTGCCTCAGATAGCATCACGAATGCTGTGCTAATGGAAGCTGTTACCAGAAGTGAGCAGTTAATGCTGCAAGCCTTTTGTGAGGCCCTCACTTCAGGGACATAAAACCTAAATGGCCAAGCGTTGCCCGTGTGCAGAGGGACAGAAAATGATGATGAGCCCTGTAAATGAATATTGCATTTGTGGTTTCTTCAGTGCCTGCCTGCCTGGCTGATGGTGACTTTTGAGAACGGCAGTATGTGAACTATAAATATTTCTTTTCGTCATTTATAATTTACTCATGGGTCAGAGTAATTTACTTGCAGAATAGCACTAAGGTCGAGAGCAGATTGCATGAAAGCTGTTATCTCTGTTCACTCCTTCTGTCCAGGTTTTACTGTGTAGTAGAATATAATTTCAATTTTCCATATGATTTTGTATTTATGATAGTTTCCATTGCATGGGACTGGCACTGTGTAATTTTTTTATGGTGTAATAGTTTCTTTTTTCCCCTTCATCTTTTATCATTTGACCACTATCATCCTACAGGAACCTCTAATTCAAGAGAGGGCAAAAATATGCTGTTGTGTGGACAAAACCATCCATCTGTTGCAAGTGAATAGGGCAAAACTAAAGAAAAATGAGTAACCTCGAATAACTCTCTTCATTTCCCAACCAAGGAAGCACACAAGAGGAATAATCTTTGACAAATACATTTCCGACCTCACTATAGCAGATAGATATTTCGAGGTAAATTTTCAATGCTGTGTACATTTAGCCATGCAGCTTCATTTAAGATTAATAGAGCTTCCACAGCTGCATTCACACATACAGCCTTGAAATTGCTCTCCACTTACTTCTTTTCTTCTTAGCATAGACATGTTTCTCCTTTTTTCTTTACTTTCTCCTTTATCTTTGAGATGTATTTGTATATTTGTTGCCCAAATGGAGCAGAAGGAAGAGGTTGGTTTGTGTGTGGGATTTTTTTTCTTAATTTACTTCTATTAATTAATATGTAGCACCTGGGGCTCAATTGATAATTAAGGGCTCAGAAATTTGAGTTTAAAGACTGATATCTTTGTAAAAATTATGTTCTTCAAGACCCATTCCAGGTTAGCAAATAAGTTGTAAAACCAGAGGAGTATGGCTAGTTTGTGTCTCAGGCATCAAGCGTTCTTGTGGGCAAAGGTTATCACTACTGGCTGCTAAATTCCCTATGGAATAAAATGGGCATTAGTTCTCTAATGCTTTCACTCATGTACTCATGTACATTTTTTTTCCCCTGAAAGTCTTCCCTGCTTCAAATGAGAGCAAAAAATAGGATGGTAATTCAAATCTGGAGTTTTACTTCTGTTTGTTTTGAGTGAGTTGGTGTTCTGGCATCACTGTGCATTTCTACTGCATACATCTCTGGGAAGCTCTGTGCTGAAATTATGTTGTGAAAACATTGCAACTAAGGGAACTGTGTTCTGGTTGCTTGTCTTATTAGGGGGCTTATCAGGAAGAGATGCATCTTTCACGAGTTTCATTCAGGAAGCCAGTAGATAAATAAAAGCAAGTACAGTTCTTCCCCCAGTACACTTTCATTCCGTAAGGTGTTGTTTCTGCTTTACGCATTACTGTGTTGGGTTGTCACTCTCCTCCCTAGAGGATTTTCCCATATATCCCTCCATTCTTCCCATTTCTTGAGCCTGTGTTTTGTCAGTCTGCTTTACCTGGATGGCATTTGTAAGTGGATGGCATTGGGGCTGCATTTCCAACAATGTAGTAGGGTACCACTTTTTCCCTTCAGTTAAACAAAGATAATGAAAACTTTGCTATGGAGAGCACATCCTTTGATTTATTTCTGCTGGATTGAATGAGTGATGGAGTTGCTTAGAAAGATCTGGACATATGCAGATAAAACCTTTTTACAAAAGGTAATTGCATAACATTGTGTAGTGAAAGAAGTGAGTTTATACATAACAAAATGTATTAAGAGACACAGATTAAAAAATCCATCCTCCCCTACATTCTAGAATTAGGCAATGTTGATACAAATTAAGGTTAGGTAATTGACTATACAGAACGAAGTATATAATTTGCAAGAGGTAATTAATACAAAATAATGTATAGAAGAGGACTCTTGCAATTAAGTAAATGCCAGCTGCTTTATTGCAATGACATTTTTTGTGTTTGTCATTAAAAATTATTAGCACTGATTTTTTCCCTTTTTTTCAGGTTTGTAGAAATACAATTAATTCCTCATTGTACAGACAAGAAAATTCTGTGATAAATACTTTGCTTCTAAAATAACATCTGCAAGTTTCAAGTTGGGTTTTTATCAGAAAAACTATGTTGTTTTTTTTTTATTTTGAAACTTTAACAGCAACAAAAAAGTAAATTACAGCTGACATTTCTTACAATTGTGAAAATTTTCCACTTAAATGCTGTGTAATAGAATTCCACTGTATTTTCAAGTAGTTTAAAATACTGGAGGGTGCTGATTATAAGCAGGAAGGAAATCCTTATAGCATTATAGTTGAGGAATTAAACAGGCATGTTTTTAATGGGTCTTTATATTTTGAAGGCATCGTGCAATGTCTAGTTTTTCTGAAATGTCTACAGAAGGATATTCCTATCGCTGTTTTCAAAGATGGAGCAAAAAAGGCAAAGAGGTTGTCTGTGTATCCGTCTCGTGCGTAGTTGCTGTCATTTGTAATCTCGGTGAACCCATAAATCCAAAGAGCCATAAGAAATTTGCCCAGGGCGTTGGAGGTTGTCAGGGTTAGGGCTGGCCCAACATTGCCAGCTTGGAGCTGAGCTCATTCCACCTCGCTGCCTTCAGTTGCTGCAGAATGAGGATTCTGTTCCCAATGTTGCTGTTCGGGTGGGACTTAAAAATTAATCTAGAAGATAGTAGAAATTTGGGCATGCCGGGTTGCCTTCCACCTTCGTGCCCTCAGTCATCCTCCCTGTTCAGCTCCAAAGGGTTGATATCAAATCAATGATTTGTAGGGGGACCTACAGGAGAGCTGGGGAAGGATTTTTTATGAGGGTGTTTAGTGACAGGACGAGGGGGAATGGCTTCAAATGGGAAGAGGGGAGATTTAGATTAGATATTAGGAAAAAAAATTTCACTGTGAGGGTGGTAAGACACTGGAGCAGGTTGCCCAGATAAGCTCCAAGGTTGCCCCATCCTTGGAGCTGTTTAAGACCAGGCTGGATGGGGCTTTGAGCAACCTGGTGTAGTGGGAGGTGTCCCTGCCCATGGCAGGGGGGTTGGAACTAAGTGATCTTTAAGTTCCCTTCCAACCTAAACCATTCTATGATTCTATGAAATCAGTCCCATTCCCATAGCATGTGCCTCAGTCCAACAATGATGCTTAGTGAACTTCTTTGCTGTGCCACTGGAAACAAATGCAAGTGTGAGGACAGCTGTCCCAAAACTGACATGAACAGAGAATTGCTCTCAGATGTCCTTTTACGGCCACACTTCTGTGTACAAGAGCAGGCTCCAGTCCTGAACTACAGAATAAACTGTCAATGAAATGGAAGATGTACGCCTGTTGGGATTCAGGGTATTTCTGTCATGAAAAGCCTAGAAGTGTGATCTCATCAATGGAGGAGGATGTCCGAAGAGGAGTCAGAAATGAGAGGTGGCAGTCGAGGAGGCATTTTAGCTCTGTAAATCTCTGTTGCTTTTTATAATTTTTGTCAAGTCTTGTTAACAGAACTACATTATTTCAGTTTTCAGTGGGTAAAACTGCTTTTTTAATTACGTTTTTACCTTAGAGGAACTTCTTGGGTTTGTCCATTTTTTCTGACCAGACATTATTCTTGCAATTGCCTGAGAACATGGACTTTCCATTTATTTAAACAGAAATACTGGTTTAATTGTGGTTTTAATTTACTTTTTTTTTTTTTTTTTGAGTGGATTTTCACTCAAGTAAGCACTTAAGTATGTGAGGAGCTTTACACAGAGGGTCACTGTTGGGAACTGTTTGCATGAGTAAAGACACTTGTGGGATGAGGATTGAAATTGCCCAGTACAAATAAACACTGTGTTTATGACTCTGCACTGCTTCTTAGTAGTGTCAGCGGCTTCCTGATGGAGATAAGCACAGCTGGCAGGACATCAGCAGTTAGATAACAGAGCAGAAGCGTTGTGTTTAATCTTCCTTGTGACGACATTCGGATAAGTAGACACAGAACTCTGCCGTGAAGCAGATGCAAACAGAGAAGACATTTCACTGAATGGAAGATCTTAAACTGCTATAAATGCTTTTCCTCTCACTTTCAGAGTTGTGAAAGTCACACGTGTTTTGTGTTCTCATTTTACGTCATCGGAGAAGGGTTAAATTGGCAGAACAAGGTATACTCTCCCTTGCTTTTTAAACTTGCACAAAGAAACTAGGAATAAAAAAAGAAAAGAAATCCTCAAAGCGAGCATGAGATTGGGATATTGTGTTAGACTGAAACTGCTCAAGAGCCACAGACATCTTTGTTTGGATTAGTTTCTGCATAACAGATGAGTTACCAAGGAATTGGGTTACTTACTCATAAATTTGCAGAGCTGCAGAAATGGAAGCCATAATAATAGTGTCTGATAGTGAAAATGAAGCATTTCTGCAGTGTCTTACTCGATTCCTAGAGGAACCTTCTTCTAAGGAAGAAACTCAGGTTGTCCTGTGAGTCCATCAATGAAAGTCTCTGTATCATTGTGTCTTCATGTTTTGTTGGAGTGGAGAATGTCCCTTGTTTTTCTTAGTCCTTTTGCAGCAGCTGCTGGTTTAATTTGATGCATACTTGTTTCAATAGAAAGGAAAACTTTTGATCCAGCTTAAAAAAACAGAGTTTAACAGTTATTTGCAAGCTGTCCTTCTGTGATCAGGGATTCTGTCATTTACATGGCATTATATCCTTTGCATGTATGTTGGGGTTTGTTGTGGGATTTTAGTGGTATTAAGGTCAGATACTCGAATGCAGCCTTTAGGAACAACATACCCATCTTGTCTGTGCCAATTTGTCTCAGCAAATCAGGCAGTCATTCCTCAGATTATTTATAGGAATCTCCAACAGCCTATTTTTGTGTGAGTGTGTGGAATGGCTACATTATAGGACTTTGTTTAAGGCCATTTTAAAAAGCACTTTTCATAAAGTATGGGTTACAAAAATCTGAAAGACAACGTATCTCAGTTGAGACAGCCAGATGTATTTGAATCAATGGACTTAGAAAAAAGTAGCTTGTTTAGCCTGGTATTCTTTCATTAAAAACAACGTATTGATTGCAGTCCAGGACATTTTGGTTCTCTTGCTTACACACTTTTGTGACTCTTGTTTCTGCCGGGGTTGTCCTCTTTACTTGAGAATAGTTGATGACTTCTGGGTGAACTGTGGAATAATTATCAAAGATTTCAGCTCTGAAGCTATAAAAATATGGCTTGATTTTTGCCCTCAGATTCCTGTGGTCTGTTGCTGACATTTTTCAGTAATGTTTCAAATAATGTTTGTTTTTATTATGCCATTTTTTCATGTTCTGACAAACATGCTGAAATGTAGCATAAAAATATCTTTCTGAATTGCTGTAAAGTACTTTACAGGTATAGCAGTCTTTGGGGTTTGTTGTTGGTTTGTTGGTTTTTTTTTTGGTTTTTTTTTTGTTTTTTTAAAGGATCACTTAATTGGAAAGCTGTATGGCAACTGTCTGAAATTTCAGGCAATGTTTTATATTCATTATTCTGTGACCCAAATCCATTCCTGTGTTCTGTTGTGGATGACTGGCAGTTCCTAATTTAATTTATCCATATTATTTCACAAATGAGAATAAGCTTTGGATATAATATATTCTTTTGTACTATAATATGTAATAAGTGTATCAAAGAACACAGGAGACGAGAAACATCATCAGATTCTAAAGCTCAGGAGAATTCGTTAGAGAAATGTAGAAAATGTTTATGGGTGCTGTTTGCAGAAAACAGAATGAACGACCATTGCCCATCCTTCTTGCCACACTATGTGTTGTGAATTCAGACTTGAGGTGCTCTGTGCCACATCAAGTGTTTTCCTCTGTGAATCAATTATGATCTGAATTTTTCCAAATTTCAGCTATTTAAACAGCAGAATAGTGGAATGTTTACAACAGTATTTCTTACAAGAACAGTCATTACATTAGGTATGTTTCTATTTAACCACTTTTATCCATCTTCAGTCTTTTTAAATATCTGGTAATGAGACATGTGGAACTTGAAGGCTGACTGAGTAGCACTATTAACTGAATTGTGTAGTAACCAAGGGTGAGGTTATTAACTAGTGCCTTCTATTTATCTATGGAGAGCTTAAGGATTCCTAGAGCATGAATTTAGCTCGGAGGCTTTTGTTCATTTGTGCTTTTTTGTTTGGTTCGTTTCCATCGTCTACCTATCAAGCAAAAAAAAAAAAAAAGGACATCAATTCATTTTAGAAAGGGAGCATTGTTACTGGGTTGAAAAACACTGTACGCGCCCTAGCCTTTTATCAGATTCCTTAAGAACTCAAAAAAACTTCTGTGATTGTTTAGGTGGGTGAAGCAAAGGGCTTTTTAAATGAATGGATTAGAATGTGAACGTATAGAAGTCAGTAGATTTACTGACTGTTCTTCCAGTAATACCCTCTAATGTTGTCAGATGAATATATGACTAGTCTGGTTTCCTCATCTCCAGGGCGTTAAAAATTTGATTTCTTTTGTACGCTGTTGTCAGTAAAATCTATTTTCATGTTTGACTGTACCTGAGTCACCTAATAGCTGTTATTCTCCAGTTCTATTTAATTGTAGATTCATCTTAAAACTGTGTACAACTTGAATTTCACATCTGTGTTCAAATTTTTACCTACTGCCTTTGTATTGAAATGTCATTGTGCAATTTTGTCTTAATATTTTGATGGTCTTGCTTATTGCATAGTCACAAAAGTTTGCAGACACGTCTAAGATGTTAAAGTGGAAAGTACTTCATTGAGATATAACTGTATAAGCGTTAGACCTCTTTTTGTCAGTCACAGGGAGACTGGCAGTTTTCTTTTTGTACTTTTTAATCTTTGATACTGGCTTTGCCTTTTGAGGAAAGTTTTCTCTGTGCTGCCACTAGCATACCCATACTTGTAACTCTGTACAGTATAAAAAAATGTCAGTGTATGTGTTAACCACTCTTAACAGCAAGCAAGTAGGTTTTTAGGTGTCCTGAGGCTGGAGAGAAACAGTTACAGAAGGAAAGCTGTTGCAGCA